TTAGCTATAATTGCCAGTTTGAACTGGCAATTAGCCATAATTGCCAGTTTGAACTGGTATTTAGCCATAATTGCCAGTTTGAACTGGCATTTAGCTATAATTGCCAGTTTGAACTGGCAATAAGCCATAATTGCCAGTTTGAACTGGCATTCAGCGCTTCCGTACGAAAGGATCTAGTCATGTTATCGCCATCTAGTGACGCCAAAAAACTAATGCGAACGCGAACGATTATTTCGACCAACGCAAAGAGGCGAGTGGGCTGATCATGAATTATTGGCATTCAATTACTCCACTGTGTCGTTAGAGACCTATAGTATATTGTTCAACAAGAACGGAATGTTAGTGATTTTCCCCGAGAATGAAATTTGCAGCATTAGCCGTATGCAAATATTGCTGCAATCATTCGAGTGGGAAATTAGCATTCCCTGCGAGTTATACACCATAATTTTCCTACGGCTGTGACAGATAACAGCGACATTCTTGATTTCTTCGTCTTGTAGCCATCTGATCTCCTCTCAAGTAATGGGCATCTATTAGACACAGCTGTCATTGCTTGAACTGTGACATTCCATTTGCGGGGTCCTTTCGTACGAAAGCGCTAAATGCCAGTTCAAACTGGCAATTTTGGCTAATTGCCAGTTCAAACTGGCAAGTATAGCTAAATATCAGTTCAAACTGGCTATTATAGCTAAATGCCAGTTCAAACTGGCAATTATAGCTAAATGCCAGTTCAAACTGACAATTATGGCTAAATGCCAGTTCAAACTGGCAATTATACCTAATTGCCAGTTCAAACTGGCAATTATAAAAAAAAAGTATCATGTCCGTTCAGCGCTTTCGTAAGATTTCCTTCTTATTCCATTATATTTGTTAAAATAGTAGTCTGATAACGACTTATGATAACGTTGGTTTTCATGCAGTGATTTTTTTATGGGTTTTGCAAACCATACCAGATTCTTTTTATCTTTGCCTGTTCCTACTTTGCATTTAGGTATACGCACTGTTCCACAATATCATTCCACTTCAATTAAAATCTTCCTAATATCAGTCAGTGATAGCATCAAGGATGAATTCTGAAGAAACAAAATATTTTGAATTCATCGTCTGTAGATAGGTTATAGGTTAGGTTAGGTTACTTACTACTTGCTGTACTCACTGATGTTACCCCTGGAAGAAAAAGCTAATTTTGTATCTGGAGCCATTCAACATTGATCAACGCGTCTGCGGCGCGTTTTATGTTTATTTCTGAATTATACAGATTGCCCTGAAACCCCCCCCCCCCTTGAAAATGTTTCTGGCGACACATAAGACATTTTTTGCCTCGAACTTAACCAGACAAACCAGGTTATCTTTATGATGACGTCATGGTAACTTTATTATGACCTAAAGGTTTATTTTTAACGCTTGACAGATGTCAGTTTTTCAGCTGTTTTTATTCATTGTCTGCTCAAAGAATAGTAGGTTGTTTGGCTTTGGTGGTATTGAATGAGAAATTCATCACCTGTAACAAGAATATATCAAAGACACAAACTAGGTACTTACCAACTTTCAAATTCAAGAAAATTGGAACAATTCGCTGCCTACATATCAACAATAAATCGAATATTCATCTTCATCAATGGTATGATGAGCTATTTCATTGAAAAATACTTCGTATGAATCCATAATTATCTCTTTGAGGAATATAATTATTTTTTCTCATCAATTATATAACCTCAGATCATAACAACAACAAGAGCCCAATTCAGTACCCAATCAAGAGCCTTAACTACTCCGTGATCTTATCCGTGAACTACCTCAGTGAGCTGGTTTGAGTGGTTGGTCAACTATTACGTCATAGTTTGACATACACTTCGAGGAAAATTGACTGGTCAACTTATTGTTGACCCGGTTTGTGTGGTTAACTTCGAGAAAAAATGGCTAATATACGTTTTGTGAATTACTGTGGTGGCCTGTGGCCGCCCTTCTTTTGACAACCTACGTGGGATGCACGCACTGCACACCAGCTATTAGAGAGTTGAAGTAATCACTGTACGTAGACCTCCACGTCGACGTTAACGTACGAAAAATAACGTTTACGTATTGTCGTTGAGTTGAAGTCGCCACTTTGGTCGTCACTGTCATCACAACGTAATAATACATTTTGTTTTCGGTTTGTATTGGTCATTTTTGGTTGTGTGTTTAGATTCGAACATTTATTCCTGTCAAAATTAGAGGACTCCTTGATGCAGAACTCGTTGGTGATCTCGAATTTGATAATTTTGACTCATCGCCATATATTTCAAGTATTGTTTGGTTAACGTACGTTGATATTCAAGGTATACGTGAAGGAACGTGAGATAACGTACACCCGTAAGCCCACTAACAACGTAAACGTGAAGAATTGGAAAATGCGCATGCGTAGCTGTCAATTTCTACGTTTACGTTAACGTTCATGACAACACTTCAACTCTCTATTATCGGCCCTGCACCTGAATAAGACACTGCCTTTTTTCGTCTTTCATGGAGGTGCCCATTCACCATTCTCCTTCATATCATAGTCACGACCACTCGAGAAATAAATTGAGATTCAGAAGTGAAGCGTCATAACTTTCACTCTTTTTCCGTACCTAACGTCACTTTTTCTCGCCATCCTCATTTATTATAATATTTTTTTGGAGCACTGGCCTGTTTCTTTCTGTCACCCTCATTTCCATACTTCGTGCTCTCGAGTCATGTATAATTCATTTTTGTCGACGAAATGCGTCTTCGTTTACTCATCGTTTTGCGAAAAAACTTAAAATTTCAATGCATTCACGTACTGACTATGATGGGGTTATAGGGGAATTTTTAAACAGATAGATAGGAAAAACTTCGAGATGTTATTGAAAACATAAAAAATCAACAGAATGCCATCAAACATATACCTAATCAGTAAACACACATATATTATGTCTGATACATACAGTGTCATTCATAAAGTCGGCATCATATGGGAAAAACTTTTAATAATGACTTATTTTGGAATTCGAGTTGTACGTTGAGTTCTGCTTCAGAAAAGATAAAAAATGGCCTACTCAATCGGGGTCACGTGACTTTCGCTACATGTCAAAAGTGAAATTTTTTCAAATTAATCGCTGAAAGTAGGCTTATTTGTTCGAATATCGAAAAAGTTTACTTGAAAAAGTTGTTTCTATTTCAATTTTACACATGCTTTCCGAATTTGATCTTTCTATTGCAACTTTTAGATTTTTATTTTTTTTTAAATTTTTCGAAATTTCTGTAATATTTGAAGAATTGTTAATTCCACGAAACTACTTCATACCAGTAGTTTTTTTATGCTACTCACTTTCAATTACTTATTATCACTGATTATGGACAGAAATATGATTTTCTTCAGAAAATGATAATACCCGCTCCCAAATTCTGTTATGTTTGATGCAAAGTTGATATATCGTCAAGCATTTAGAAACGAAATTCATTTAAACTGATCTTTTCAGTACTGAAAACATAAATTTAAATGAATTTCGTTTCTAAATGCTTGACTCAAACATAACAGAATTTTGATGTTATGTTTGCATCAAACATAACAGCATTTTGAAGAGGAGATTATTATTTTCTGAAGAAAATCATATTTTTGTTGATAATTAGTGATAATTAGTAATTGAAAGTTAGTAACATGATGAAGCTACTGGTATGAAGTAGTTTTATATCGAATTTACAATTTTTCTAATATTACAGAAATTTCGAAATTTTTTAAAAAATATCGAATTCTAAAAAATGTAATAGAAAGATAAAATCCGAGTCACATATGTAAAATTGAAATAGCAACAACTTTTTCAAGTAAACTTTTTCGTTATTCGAACAAATAAGCCCACTTTCAGCGATTCATTTGAAGAAATGTCACTTTTGACATGTAGCGAAAGTCACGTGACCTCGATTGAGTAGGCCATTTTTCATATTTTTTGAAGCAAAACTCGACGTCCAACTCGAATTTCAAAATAAGTCATTAATGAATATTCCCATATGATGCCGACTTTATGAATGACACTGTATAGCACTAGGAGTACAACTATTCTATACAATAAACTTGCTATTTCATGATATCACAATGATTGGACTTGAAAACATACGACTAAATGCCAATTCCAGTTCGAAATTAAGAGTATCTTAGAGAAAACAATGAGTATATCTCCCAAAATATAAAATACATGGACAGTTTGCAGACATGTACATATTATATATACGTAACATAAAAGGCATTTCATTATACTATGTATATAACTTAATTTGAAACATTATTCTGTTTTGATTTCGTGGATGTTTGAGGTTTTTTCTTTCATAGTATAATATTTATTATGTGAACGTAATATCATCTGTGATAACATATTGATTACCAGCTAGAGAGATACTTGGGAGATATTTGAATAAGTCTTTGCCATGGTATAGGCACGATAAAGGTATATGATCTGGTATGATGTAAAGATTAATTATTACGTCGTTTTATTTCCCCCATCCTTCTTCATTACTGGCGAGATTTTTTGGGCAAGATCGAAATATTTATTTTCACATAGGAGTTGTACCTAGTACATGCAGTTGTTCCGTCATTATATATGTTGTTGATGGTTTCAGTTTCCTGTGAACTTACTTATGGTAATCAGTTGTTAAGTACCCATGGAACTAAAACCATCAAAACCATTGGTTTTAGTATCATTGACTAGCTGAGAATCTTGCCAACCATTATATAGGCATATTGGTAATGTTCTTATTCTTGTTCATGGTTCGAACCTATTTGTTTATTCTTCTCAGGCCCATTGAACAACATCCATTCTTATACATTGACAGACGAAAAACGTTGGCAGAATAATGTCATCTTTGTTGTTGAGAGCCCCTTTAAACTTTGACGCCCTGGATATCGAATCAAACCAAAATTAGAAATGACATGATCACCCTGTACGTTATGCTTATGCTTATATGCCACCGGTCGAAGCTGTTGTTACTGAACCCAGTTTTGGACTCACCTTGAAGCTTGGCCACGCCCTTGAACGTGACCGGATCGATGAGGGTGGGGTCGCTCATGCCCTTGGCGTTGACCGCGTAGAGCGCCAGCCGGTAGGAGGCGCCGCCGTCCAGCCCGACGGCCGTGAAGGTGGGCGGCGACCGGTACGAGGTCAGGTTGAGGCGGGGCCTCAGAGAGGGCAGCTCGAGCACCTGCATGAGGAAGCTCTGCGGCAGCCCGCCGTCGAAGCCGTCCGTGCAGTCCACCTGGATGGAGTTGGAGGTTTGGTTGATGAGGGTGCAGTTTTGGAGCTGGGAGGGCCGACCTGCAATGGAATAAAGTTTGAAAGGAATGCTTGAATTGAGCATATAATCATCAGTTACTTTCCCTAACAACTTGAATATCTGTATTGTGTCTATTATATGTCCGAGGTGTCCATTGATACATTCTGGACAACAATAGGATGTCCACATGAAGATATCCAATGGATGTCCAGGTAAAGTTATCCATATGGTGTCCATTCCAATTCCCCCTCTGATAATGTTACTTAACATAATCGTCTCGGATATAATCGACGTCGTTCGGCTCCTTCGGTGACCACAGGCTTAGAGTAGTGATGCCGTCCGCCATACATTGTTATTGTTGTTAACGTTGATGCATTGATAAATAATGTCTGAGGCTACTGAGACTGATAATCTCATCATTCTCAGATAGAAATACTTTATAGAAATACTTTATTTCTTAACATGACATACATGTGTTGAAAATATATGTATGTATAGCGTTCTGATGCATTTTCCAACTTGTATTGAGTGAAATTATTGTGATAATCTGTTCCTCAATATGTGTGTGTGAATGGCGTTGACACTTGCTTGTGTTTTATCGTTATGTCATTTCGGTCGAAGAGCAAATAGATCACTTGAATTGAAGAGCCATCCCAGGATGTGTTGATTGAGATGTCGAAGAATTTCAATTATACCTAGTAGAATGTATCTGAAATTGAGTGCCTATTGTGTTAAGTCAATCAAACTGAAATGATGAAGGGAGGTGTTGATAGAAACAACATATCATATCAATCTTATGTGGAATATTATAGTACCTGGTGTTCTTGAATATACTCACATTTGAAATAAATTTAACAACCAGAAACATAGATTCTATTTATTGACCAGATTTTATTCCTATTTATAATATGAATATGCATACATTCAAGACATCCGATTAAATTTACCATATGGATGTCCATGACAGATACCATATGGATGTCCTTGACGGATACCATATAGATGTCCATGACGAATACCATATGGATAGCTGAAAAGTTGGAAACGAGATATCCTATGGATGTCCATACGTCATCCAGTGAACACAAACTGGATGTCATATGGATGTCCGAGATGTCCAGAGGAGGATATCCATAGGACATCCATTGGATCGAGTTGTGTTATTAGGGTTGTGCCAAGCTAGAAAGATATGGAATAAGAGATTTTCCACTGAATTTAATAGATATGCAGAAGGAAACAAATAATTAGAGTGAAAAATACTTTTTCTGATGAAATGGACATCGAGCAAGGTGTGCCACAGAGGTCTCTTTCAGGTCCTCTTATTTTAAAAAATAATTCATTGTAAACTTTAGGAGTGTATGTGTCACGATCTTCACTCTTCTCTTTTAGCTAACATATCATGTGGTCCGCTTGGATACTTCACACTTTACTTGTCGTAAAAATGTTGTATCAACAGCACCTCTCAATCTAACCTTTTCTTCCATAGCCGAATCAACAATTCATACCCTCATGGGCGTCGCCTAAATCGTTTTCACTGCGCAAACAGACAAAAATGGAAAACTAATTTTATTACAGTTCAAGGATAAGAACCCTGTGAATGATTTCCGGATGTACAATGAATTGATGTTCTTCATACAGGATGTGAAAACATTCTCAATGCAGAAGACTCAATCACGAATCTGTGATTAGAGGTTTTTAAAAGCAAATTTCCATCGTTCAAGTTTGAACCCTCCGATTGAGTATGAAATAATTCATATTTTCATAACATGGTGAATGCGAATTTATTTCATGATATATCTGAGAATATTCCGTCTCAAAAGTGTAAATAATATTCTTTAATATTGCTTCTTCAATAGCTTCATATAATTTGAAAAAATGCTAAATCATTTTAGCATGTACTAAGATACTAGTTTTCAGCTTGGTGGAAGCACTTTCAGAAGATCATGCTCTGAAATATTCATTGAAGTTGATCATATTGAGCCATGTAAATATTATGAAGATTATAGGGTGGTTATATTATCGTTGTATAAAAAATAAATCAGAACAGATTGATTATTGAGTAGCGTTTGATCATCATCCAGCACAACTAGTTGTTTCCATACTCTTGCTTTCCTTCCTCATCAGAACATAAAATTATGTCATTTCCTATGCCTCATTCCTGTTTTCCTGAATATTCGATGCAGAAATGTGGAGCAAATATATGAAAATGGAATGTTCAGTAATTTTGAATGACGGGAGACATGCCTCCCCTGACGACACCTATGTATGGAAAGTTTCAAAGAGTTCGTAAAAACGGTACACCTCTCCGTCATCCTGACCTGAATTGAGGGATACTAGGAAAACTCCAATGAATATGCATGTGACCGACAGAAAAGGGTATGTTAATATATTCGAGAAACTAACCATATGTGTGGCTGAGCGGATGTTTTAGAATTTAGCGTGGAAAATAAATTGACAAGATGACAGTATATCTTGCATTTTGAATAAATTGCTCAACAGATCTTTGGTCCAGTTAGATGGATATTTTTATGGACGAATTTCCCTGCTAACCTGACGAGTACGCACTGATGATGACTTAACAGTCGAAAGCGCTCTGCTACGAATATTTTGAATAAATTATCTTGCACGAAATACAAATCTTCCCTTCTCTGGTATATATTCACGTGCACACAGCCCAGCCACCCTCACTGATATAACAATGTCTGGTACCACCAATACCACCAACACCACTATATCTATGTTCGGTATTTCCATCAGCAATACTCTTCATGGGTGAATCATGTCTGATGAATCGCGAAAGCTGCTACACCAATACTTGAATTTGTTTCCGCGCGAAAATATACTTCACGCCTCAACAACTTTCACTGTGATATAATATGATGATTTGTGATTTCAATATGTACAATCACATAAAACATTTGGCGATCTATCATTATTTATCATGTCACTTTACTTTGTTGACAGTGCGGATTGACTAATATATTGTATGTTTATTATGTGTGATTACAGGATTTTAACTTTGAATTCACAATGAATCATCAGGTGTGAATTCACATAGCAAGTATTCCAGAGCTCAATGGAAAATCCGATGTACAGGGTCCTAACGTATATTTCGATCTCCCTTTACCTTTTTGGTTTGAAATCCACGATAGTTTGAACCGTTTTTCTGTTTACACGTAAGTATTCGATAATAACAACCATCAAATAAACTTACATTAGGATCCTGTATATTTGATGGAAATACAGGTACAATATAATCGAGTGAAGTCTACCTATGAACACATGATCCACATTTGAATATTTGACAAAAATATCATATGATTTCGAACCAGAGAACATCCTCAGATTCCTCTGTATTGAGTCTGTATGCATTCGATAATTGCGGTCCAGTCTTTTTGGTATCTTACGAGGTATATATTCAATATAACATGCAATATGGATCGTGACACATTTGAAACTACATAACTAACTGCTTGCAAACACCATGAATAAAATTGATGAGTACTCAGCTAGATGTCAACAAAAACAAAACAGCTTCAGCTAAACCACAAACAAAACTGCTCCGTAAACTATACGTGAACCATTCCTTTCCTCAAGTAAATTTAACAGAACTAAACAGGTATTGGTATTATTATCCAATGTCGCGTGCCCTTGAGGCATACGGCTTCTATAAATAAACACAAATGTTAGGGCGTTTCCATAATCAAACATGTGAAATTCATATCACAGAATACATTCTGTAGATTAATCATTCTCACAATGTATTTTCACTTCAGTACTACATTTCACGCATTGTATTCTGTGAAGAATATGACAATGTACACTCGTCTCTAGAAAACATGTCGCAGTTGGACGGTGTAAGCGCTCTGAATCACCGCTACAATAAGAGCGATTACTCCGTCCAACTGCGAGATGATTTTTGAAGACGAGTGTACTTCTGAGATATAGATCATGTGAAATATAGGTCACATTATAAATTCTGTGGAAAGTACAAGATTTATAACGCCTTTTCACAACCATTTTTATCATTGTACGTATTTTTTGCTATTTCTGCGGAACGAATCACACAGTCTTCAAGCTATATGATCTCGTTGAGAAAACTCTGTTTCAAATTCTCACTCATCCCAACTATAAATAACTCGTTGCTCGGTGCCATCACAATGACGATTGTTTGAAGTGTTCCAGGTCCGAAAGGATAGATATTATTGTTATCGAGAGGACCCAAAGGCATAGAAGTACTCATTGTTTTCCAAGTTCGCCAGAAATTAATGTTCACTCACTTAGCGGGACTTGAAAGGATAACTATCAAATATATATACGGTTTACATTGTCGGACTTGGGTGCAGCGTCTGCTGTTGAACCAGAATCGGAATTGGCCGCAATTGTACTTTATGAAGGAGTTCGTGTACTCCTGGTGGACCGAGAAGTTTCCCGTGCTCTGTTCGCAGGACGGAGATAGAAGTATTCTAGTTAGCTCACCGAGATGAGAAAATTGAATTATATGGAGTTCGGAATGTTGCAGTTGTAGCATAGTGGATATTGTGTGCATTTATACCATTTATATTTGCGAATAGAACTACTGGTGGTTTATTATCGTGGAAGCTACAACATTACCAAGAGACCCGAGTGAGAAATCAAGGGTTATGTATCATCAATTTGCATGAGATTAATATGTTCTTTCTCTTCCATTGTCGGTGCTATAAAAATTGGTTGATCTGGAAATGTGACGAACAAGAATTGCAATCAATGTTGTACTTCTCACACTTCTGGCTTTACAGGGTTGTTACAGATTGCGTAAAAAACTCTATATGAGAATCAGAATTGAATAAACTAGAATGAAAATACTTTGGGATTGAATTGGCCAAATGATATCCCATGATGAATTATTTCCTTCAATACGAAGGTCATTGTGGAGTATGACCCCATAGGCCAAACAAAAACGAGAGAGCAGACTGAATAACTTTCAAGAGATTGTTTATTTCAATAACCGCAGACATACGTCGATTTTCAATTCATGGGAGACTCCTATTTATTGAGGTATACATTGAGGTAATAAGGCCCAAGTTGCCAGTGGAAGAATCATTTAATAATTATGCCTACTGATTTTTTGCACAAATCTTTATTTACCAATAAAAACACCAAAAATACATTCTGAATTGAGATTTCTTATATAGAAAAACAGAAACAAGAATTTTTAAGAACCATTGAACATAGGCCATATTTCTGCCATAAGGGAGTAAGCAGTGAAAAAAATAATTTTCCAAAATGGTTTTTTGGAGTGGACTTGTCGATTTTTATCTCTTATTTTCACCATATGTCTCGAAAACGAAGCACTGGACTGATGTAAGTGCTTTAGATCGGTTTACTTTAACCACAGGAATATGTGCTTAGATTTTGTACGACCATTTAGGAACACCCCGTATATTAATATAATTATTCCTTATTTATAGTTTATATTATCTCACTTTTACATTTATGCATATTATGTCTATTATAGAATGCCTTTTAATGAATAAAGATCTGTCCATTTTCACGTTTGGGGGTGTGCTTCTGCACTAGATGACGATATCAGGGATTTTTCCATGTTCTGTCGTCCGTCTTGACGAACATTACAAATAGAATTGTGTATTTACCTATTTCCGCCACCTAGTGTGAAAGCTACAAAGTGGTAAGTTTACGGTAATTGAATTGACTCAACGATTTTCTGAACCCCGTATAACAAGAGTGGCACTGAACTCCATCAGAGTCGAAATTCAATCCGACAAATTAAAAGTTTCGCTAATCATTTTACTTTTGCGATTCTATTCGGACAAACGTATTTTTCACCTAATTTTTATCCTGTGATGAATTCTTGGAACACAGTCAAGATTGGTTTGGCTCGCAGCACTACCCGTCTATCTTTATGACTTTGTCTGGGAGCCATGAAATATTCTGTTGTCATGATTGGGTATCCTGAGGATTTGTTGTCGATAAGGCTTCGAGGGTTTGGGAGTGCAGAGTGCAGACTTTCCACCCGTTACTGTACACGAATCGATGATATATGGACGCAAACTAGTGGGTTTCGTGCAATTCACTAGTTTTATTTTATACTTCCTGATTTGTGACTTCCTGAAACACTGGAAGAGAGTTCAAAAGGGAAAAAACAGCTATACTAGCCGTCCCATTTTCGATGTCCTTATACACTTATTTTGGAAGCTACTTATTTGCGATTTTCGCGAAAGAAGCCGCGAACAAAATTTTCATAAACCCCCATTGTATCTCAGCTATCAGCTATCTTTCAACTTATAGAAAAAGAGTTAGTATGAAAGCTGTGTGGGTATGTGGAAAAAAGCGAGTGCAAAATGTTTTATCATCCTTATTGTCACTTTTTATACCTGTCGAATTCCCCATTTTTTATACAACGGCGAATAATGAATCAGGACATAAAAACTACGAAAAATTGAATATAGTTGGGATATAAGTTATTGGTTTCTGAGTTTTCGTAGTTTTGATATGCTGGATTATTATTTGCCGTTGTATGAAAAATTTGTGAAATTTACAGGTAGGTCGCAAGGATTATAAAACATTCTGAATGCGGTTTTTTTTTATAGCCACCTAAGAATATACAGCTTTCATAGTCAATAAATATTGCTGAATGAGAGTAAATGTTGAATGTTGGTCAAATTGAAACTTTTGACAGGAAAAACACTCTCAGCTTGTCAGCAGAAGGGTAAATATAAAAATTTGTGCTATGAGCAATGTTGCCACATATTCACAAGGTCCAACGATAAAAAAATACTGAATAGCTAAAAATTATCTGAATACCCACATGGCTAATATCGGATGTGATATTTATTTTTAGAAAGCGCGAAGCATAATGGTTTTGAGTATCGAACGAGGGAGAAATGTTGACATAAATATGAACGTGGCAACAATTCACGAATGGGGGATCCAAAAACTTGGTAGATTTCAATGCAAACAAAACACAAGCATGCCTTTTCTCTAGAAGAGCCGATCTCACTGTGCCAAACATAAGCATGTCAGGAGTAACCATACCTTTGAGGACATCCATTTCGATGCTTGGTATTACCCTTTATTGTGAATACTCAATGGTATCACTATCAGCACTAACCTTTCTTGGGAAAATCACGTGAGATCAATTGCGAAAAGTGCATCCCAAAAACTTGTTTTTTTTGTTCCGGGCCAGAAGCTATTTTATTTCCAGTCAGCTGCTTATGATCTACAAGGCACAGATCCGACCTGTCCTGGAATACTGATCCCATATTTGGAGTGCGGCACCCAAACATACCCTGAAACTGTTGGATTCTGTCCAAAAAAGGACAATTCGTCTCTCACTGACAAACTCACTCACTTCTCTGGAACACCGTAGAAAAGTTGTCGATCTGACTCTATTTTATAGATATTTCAATGGACGATGCTCTTCTGAAATATCAACAATTGTAGTTTCCTTGGCAGTCCTCGTGAGATAAACCCGTCGACTTGAGGCTTCGCACCCCTTCGTGGTCACTTTGGAGACCTGCAGAACATCTCTTTCCAAAGACTCGTTCATCCAACGAACAGCGAGGCTCTGGAACACATTGCCAAGGAAGATGTTCCCCGAGGCATATAACCTCCAGAAATTTAAGAAGAACACCAATTCCTACCTTATTTCTCTTGGTTCTCACAATGTTCTCCGAATATTACAGGATATCCCTTTTCGTGGGAACCAGAACATAAAAGTAGCGAACGTTTGCGAAAACCGCATATCTCTATCTACAAAAATGAATGAGATATCCAGTATAAGGTCATCGAAAATGAGACAGCTAGTACGCTGACTGAAAAATGAAGAAATTTGTCTGCGATGAATTCGATTCTTTCCCTTCAATATTTGATCGATTTTTTCAAACATTCGGACGTTCAAATATTGACCAATCAAGGACGAACGATTGGCGTGTAATTGCCCCTTATGAACATCACTACTTGCAATCTGCACTAATAGCTTCATTAACTTCTCATCAATCATCAGCACAAATATGTCCCTTGGAAATTCTCAGGACGTCCATAGGACGTTCGTATTTGGTACCGCGGACGTCCATTGGTTGTCTGTGGTACACACAAATGTCTCCTTAAGAAATGTGCTTGAGACAACTATCTGACATACATAACCTACAATAATAAATAAATCCCTGGACGGTGATGGTTTACAGCACAAACACCAGCATATTATATAGAATTTGTGGTGATAGAAACACTCAGTTATTTTTCAAACACCGGTGAAGAAACCGATAATGATGAACAATCTGGAGGTATTGATCTGGGAGTCAACTCTGACAGAATCATTAAAGAAGGCAAAGGGCAAATAAATCTGTTTTTTCTGTGACGGGAAAAAAGTTTGGCATTTCATCTCTGTTGACAGGTTATAAAATGTCACTTTTCATAAATTACTTTTTTCCCGTGGGAAAAAAGTGAGTACTTCTTTCCCGGATATATATCACATATATATACTCTGTTAATGGCTTTCGTTGTGCTATAGTTCCGAAAAATGAGTCAATAATACCGTCTCCGAGAAAGAACTGCAAGTCCTTTTATCTTCCATTCGACTTCGCGGTTTCCTATATTACTAAACAACTACTGAGGTCGCAATTTTTCAAAATCAAATCACAGAATTGAACTGACAGAAGTGACATCAGATATTTGATTACTTCAAAAGAATGATAGAGATGCCTATAAAACGCAGGTGTCCCTACTGTTAAAAACTTGAAATTTCACGTCGATAATTTTCAGATTTCGAAATAATGTAATATCTTCTCAATATTGATTCGTCCTTCCTTCTGTCACAGAAAAAAATAGTGTATCATACACGGGAAAACTATTAGATTTTAGCTCACGGTTTTTTGTCTCCCTCCGCTACGCGTCGGGAGACAACACAACCTGGAGCTAAAATCTACTACTTTTTTCCCTTGTATAATAAATAACTATTTCTCATAATAGATGAGTTTTCGAAGTTTGGAATCAAGAGAACATCGCAATTATATAAGAAAGGTTTTTGTTGTATTTTCCTTTTTTGTGTTTTTGGTAAGTGGAAAACAGCTGTATGTCACGCACGCAGAAAACGCTTCATAGTAGGAGAGGTGATGTCAAGAAAGGGTAGCAATCGGCACAAGTTTAGCACTCCACTTACAGGACAGAAGATGCCACTAAATGAGCGAAATCGAGATTCTGCCACCTCCGATTGGTTCTCATTTATTATTATTCAACAATAAC